AAAAAATTATTATAATCTTTTAAAATCGATTTTTTAAATTATAATTATAATCTTAAATAACTTACATGTTAAATAAGAAAATGTATATAACAGTACAAAAATATTATTGATTGTAAGCGTAGCTTACATATAGCGTTTCGCTATAATCAGTTTTTCTGTGATAGCAATTTCATATTTATAGAGAGGTTCATTGAATAAACTGCAGTGTGATAATATCCTAATTGAATAAATAAGAAAGTAAAAGAGTAAAAGACAGTAGATCGAAGTTTATCGAAAAATGAAACAATCTAGTTTTAATTCATTATATATGTTTTATGAACACTTGTTATTTCAGCAACTATATATATATATATATATATAAGATGAATTTTTCATCTAGATCTTTATATAGATAATTTTATCTAGATATCAGCAAACATTGATGACAAGGCTATATTCCATACTAACACAATTGTGTAAACACGATCAAAAATCTCGGTTGTCCTCTCGATTGTCCTCTCTGTCTTTCTCTTAGATTTTACGAAGAAAATAATAAATTACTTATTCAAATTAATTTAAATAATTAATTTGATTTGTATTTTAGTAAGAGTGTATAAATTTATTAAATTTTAATATAATTGCATTGTAATTTTAATATAAATTATATTAAATAATAATAATAAATTTATATTACAATTTTGTACATAGATTGGAAGCACAACGCGTGAAGGTCTTCTCGGCCAACGTTTGATCAGTCGTGCATAAGTGTAACGGCGAAATCCTTTCGAGAGTACGTTCTTAGCGAAATCATTGATCGCGATGAGGACCATCGTTTTCAGTTTAACATTTTTCTTGATATCGGTGTCGATCGCTGGATCAATCAATGACTGCGAGGATCCCAATTTTCACTCTTTGGAGACGCCAGAGTCATCCAAATTGGAGTGTGGTCCAGCTTTCAAGAACCGCTGTCGCTGTTTCCGAACGTGCTATGACGGTCACCATCAGTACGTCGTGAATTGTACGGGAAGTGGATTTCAGGATACATCCCCACTGGCGCATCTGCCTAATGAGACGCAAGTGCGTAGACACTTATCGTGACCAAAGTCCGCGGACGACTCTATTACATCACGATATTAACACGACAATGTATTAATACACACGCAGGTACTCATCTTTACGGGGAACGAATTAGAGGAGCTGCCCTGGAACGTGTTCGGCACTTTGGACAGCCTACCGTATCTGAGGGTGATCGACATGTCGAATAACAAGATACGCGAGATACGCGGCAAGGCTTATCACCATGTGCAGCACGTGGAACGTCTTATACTGGACTTCAATGAGCTCTCGTTGGATCCCGCGAGGAATCATCCGAGAGTGTTCTCCAATTTCATTTCTCTTCTAGAGCTGCATCTGACCGACGCCTTCGAAGACGGTCCACCGAGGAACCTGGCGTCGACGCTCCACGATATCTTTGTAAACAGGTAAACTCAGAAGAATACATAGTGGCAACTATAAAGACGATATCTATACTATACAAGTTTTCTATATGTAGAATTTCTGCATCATTTTTTTATTTATAATTTTTCTTCCTTTTTTAATAAAAGTTAATTATTCAAAAAATCTTTCCTAGCAACCTCACACAGCTGATAAAACTTCATCTCGAACAGAACGAGATCTCGGAGTTTCGAGATGTCAATGTATTCTGTGATCTACCAAATCTTCTTGATCTTCATCTCGGCGATAACGATCTGAACGCGCTGCACTTTAATTTGTCGTGCTTGCACAATCTGCGCTTCTTGGATTTACGACGAAACAAATTCACAAGAATTCTCGAGCGCGATCTCCACATCATGGACAATCTCGCCAAGCACGATCGAAACGTAACTGTGGATTTTTCTGTCAATCCTTTCGAATGTTCCTGCAAGCTCAATCCATTCATCAAATGGATAAAGAAGACGAAAGTGTTTATCCGAAACAAAGCCAACTTACAATGTTATAAAGGTATTAATTATGGATAAACAAGGTTTTTTTTTAAGAAAACGGAAAGAATCTTACAGTAATTGTATGGAAAATTAGATTCCGATAAATTGAGTTGGTTTTATTACATAATGATAGCTTATATAATTTGATGAAAGATGTGATTATCAACTTTAATAATAGATAATTATTGAACTATTATTTTGAGCTATTTTTATTAAAGATGTAAAATTGTGATGTGCAATGTCATCTAACATTATTTTATATCTTCTACGTAACATTAACAACTAGGTTTTTTTTTTTATTAAGAGCATCAATATATAGCATTAATTTTATTTTATATATAATAATATTTATCGTAAAATTAAAATTAAATGAGACATACATTTAGAAGGATTTACAGAACGTAATTAAAGCTTTGTCAGATATCTATTAGACACAAGTTTTAAGTCTCTGATAAAGCAAAAATTGTCTATTATCAAATTTGATGTCTATGACATCTCCTATTTACTAGATTATGAGCTATTAATCATATGTGAAAATAAACTTATTTTATTGGGACCTAATTGTCCAATACAATTAATGTGGGATCCTTTTTTATATTTTCTTCTCTTTATTAGGTAATGTAAGCTACGATTTCCACGAAACAAAGAATTGCGCTCCAAAGCTCCTAGTTTCCACTCGGCGAGGAACTACGGTGGTGCTTTGCTTCCTCTCAATGGTGCTGATTGCCCTGGTGTGCGCTTTAGTCTATCTACAAAGGACAATGCTTCAGAAAAAAATTGAGCCGGTGCTCGATTCGGTCAGCAAGAGGGTGCGGTACACCTCAATAGCGAATGGTGATACTCGCGAGGATGTGTGAACGTAGAAACAGAAGAGAATCTGCGAAACGATAAGTTTTTGCTTATCGAACGATATCGAATTGTGATTAATGCTATTTAGTATTCAATTTAACATTACATGTAATCCGTTTATAAATAAATATTATTTATTACAACATCCCTAAAATTTATTTCTTAAGGATACACAAAGAACGATTTGTTAAAATATATAAAAATTAGATCAGATGTATATCAAAGAATAATTATGTTGAACCAACCTAAATAATTATATTAAATACTTAAGTTGATTGTTAAAATATCAAAATTTTTTTGTAGCATTTTTATTAGGGATGCTACGGATATCCGGCAATTAAACTATCTACTATTAGAGCTTTGGAAATCTGCGTAGGCACTTGCGTCGGCAGATGCAAAAATGACGTGATATTTCCTTCTTATCAACGGCTATCAGAGTGCCGACACCTAGTCGAGATTAGATATTGCGTACAATATATTTTTAAGCTGTTTTAAGATTGCTGTTTGTTCAAAGCGAGGAAGTGCCGCGGAATCGCTTTAACGAATCACGAATGTCGTATTGTTTTAAACATTCTTTGCATAAACATCGCGTTGTTCATTATACTTGTGGAGCGTTTGCGTCGAGCTCGATAGAAAAGATGCCGCTCGTCGAGCGACTTCGTCTCGACGAGGTCGTCAGTTCATACCCAGAGCTCGGTCCAACGGTTCCGGATGGTGGATACTCGTGGTTTGTTCTTCTAGGTGTTGTCTTCATTCAGGTTCGATCGCCACATGTGTATCTTAATAACAAAGTTGCGCTTTTATTTAGAAATCAGATTTCGGCGTGATCCTACATTTAGCATTAAATACTGTGTGTGTGTGTGTGTTTTGCTCTTTTTTAAATTCTTTATTAAAATTATATCATATTTGTTCGTTTGAAAATTGATAGAATTAAAATTATTAAACGTAACTGGATAATGAAATAAAAAAGAAATAGTTGGTATTTTGACGCAATACAAGGTATTTAGAAAAATAACATATAACTGAATAAGGTTCCAAGAAATAAATCAAACACTTAAAATAAGCCAATGTAAATCAACATAATATTAATGAATAAATTACAATTAATTAGATGTTTTAATCCTGTTTTGGGTTATCTTTAGTACACTACAAAAGGTTAATAAATATTTCATTTACAATAAAGTCAGATTGTTCAATATACTGAAAATGTTCGGATAATGATTTTTTAAATTTGGACATTAATTTCACGATATGCTTCGAGTTGATATTCATCTCAACAATCTGATTTTATTGTAAATGAAAGATTTATTAATGTTTTATAATGTACTGTAAATGTGACTCAAAGACAAAGTTAAAACGTCTAATTAATTGTAATTTATTTATTAATATATATATTTTATACATGAATATTCTGTGTTGGCTGACATTGATTTATTTTGAGTTTTTAATGTACGTAGAAATAATGTATTCATATATATTTTTATTCTAAAGAAAGAATTATCGCATCATCAGTGTGTGTTTTACTTTGTTCAATGGGTAAATAATGGCGCTTTGTAATGCGTTAAAAATAATTTTGTTCCAGATGTTACGTTGTTTAAGACGTAAGTTCGCTGGATACAAGGAACGCACGAATCAAACAATGATTTTTCGTTAACAATTTGTTATATGATAGGGTAAAGGTGGCTTATAAGAGTACGCATCAAATAAATCAGTCTAAGAGTACACATAGTTGAAATCTCAATATTTGCAACCGTGATTTAGTTGGTATTACAGTATCACAAAGTCTTAACAATGCAAAGTTGTAGAAAATTTACTGTATTATTTGATTACGTCTCAGAAATAAAGGTAAGTTAATATTTTATCAATTGTTATAATAACTTTTTGTTTCTAGATTTTAAGTGTTTCAATGTCAATAACTTCTTGCACTTCTTATTATTATAATTAGGCACACTTTCTATTGTTTATAAAATAATATACAACTATTATATGTTTTTTTTTGTATGTTGCAAACATTTATCAATTTTTTAATAAACTGATTACATGTCGTCTAGACATGTCTATGTAATGCCTTGGTGGATAAGAGTGCTACGTACTCTTGACTACTGTGTACTTTTACTTTCCATACAGTACAGAATTTGCAATAATAAAATCTTTGCAATATTATCGTAATATGCAATGTTGCTACAACTTTTGTGCAACTTCGTGCTGTAGTTGCCATATTTTTTATCGTATCTGAGTACAGTATGAATAACTAATGACTTTATATCATTAAAAATAAATAGTTTTTGAAATTATTATTGTTAAAATTTATAATTTTAATTACATTTTATATATTATAACAGTAAATAAGTTTATCGTAAAACATATGTATTAAAATTTATTTTTTCTTTTGAATTGTTGTATATACATATATACATATCTGTATTTTCTTAGAGTAATGAGAAAATATGAAAATAATAAACTGAAAGAAAACTGAGCTTAATAATAATAAATAATTAAATAAAGAATTAGTTAATTAAAGAGTAGTCTTATTTTTGATCAAAGCTGATTTTAATGCTTAATATCAATACAATATAATACTAATATGTAAATTTTTGCGAATACATTTTTTTAGTTTTATAAATTGCGTCAATTAAATTAAATTTATAAGTTTTTATAAAACGCTTATTAGCATCGTTAAAATTGACGATCAATTTAATTCAAGATGATTATTCCAACTTCAATTTACGATTGTGTTTAAGTCCGATAAACTGAAGGCATATAATTTATATTGTTTATAAGACTGAAAAAAAAATACATTTGTACAAATTTACATATGGACGGATAAAAATTTTCTGATTAAATATCTACCACCCAGTGACAAATGGAATCGATATCGATTCGACATCATTTCTCGTCGGATAGAATTTTAGTTAAGATAATTATTGATATTAAGATAATTATTGATATAATTATTCTAGTAAAGATAAGAATTTTGGTAGATTTTATCAGAAATATTTGTATCAACCAGAATTCCGATTATTTCTACAATTAGAATTCTAATAAATTTATTTCGAAAATTCTGATTCGTTCATTTTTAATCAGATTTTTTTTTCAATGCATACAAAGCCTATTGTAATATTAAAGGAAAAATATTTATATGCAATTACTGTTAAATTCTGAATTGCGTACTTGTATTCGACATCATTGTATACACTTATCCGACATCATTGCGTACTCTCTTAGACGCCCTTATCGGGTAAGAGTACGCAGTTTTTCATTAATATAAATTTTTTTTTATTAGTATATATATTATCAGGATTGGAAGTAACGCGTTTCTTGTAACGATATTATCGTTAGGGCCACCACACACAAAATAACATAAACTGCATATAAGCATAGCATAAGATCATCGCTAGATCAATGATCATCTATAATAAAAAGATGTTATATTGATTTGCATAAGATGTTTATTCACCGATCCAGCGGTCTTATGCTATAGTTATGCAGCTTATATCATTTTATGTATAATGATCTTTACTGTTAAGTCTTTTTAATAACAATCATTTATTTTTTGTTTGTATAAAGGATGACATTGTTACATTTTTACAGTAATGGTAACGAATTCAGTCGTTACTTTTATGAGTCATTTTATTACTTTAATTGTTTTTAATCTTGGTATCCTGATATTTTGTTACATGTATACATATAACAATATATAATAATTATGATTATTATTGTGTTTGCAAGATTCTTAATATGCATTCTATGTAAACAAATTATGTTTATTTTTAAATAAAATTGTATTATAGGCAAAAATTTATTAAAAAATATATATATACGTACTCTTATCTGCCTTTCCTCTACGTATATCCATATTATTAGTGTATTATTACCATATCATAATTGTTTCAATAAGTAAGTTCCAAGTATTTCTACATTTTTTTATATACGTTTACTGAATACTACATAGTGCATTCCTTGGTACAAATATTTTAATAGTATCTTTCTTATATTTTTAATAATTTTATTGCCATTTATTCAGTATTTTTAAGAATTTTTCGTACTTTAAATTTATGAAAATTTCTATAAAATATATCTTAAACTGTTTCAGATTTATATGTTTTTTTTTACAGAAATTATATTATAGAATGATAAATCTTAGAATATTTTAGCATTTATATACATGTACATATAAAGAATTGCAGAAAAAAATATAGATTTCCTCAACAATTCTGAAAAGTATTCTAATTCGTATAAAAAAGTATAAGAATTTTTTTTATATAAAAACAAAAAAGGGCTAATGAGAGTTCATTCGCGGTACTTCGTGCGAGAATAAAAATCAGTTTATTACAAATTCAAATGAATATAATTAAGCATAGATTGTCTTCGCGAACACTATCATCAGTATGTTTAACATTTATTATAATTCTTTATATCTTTCATGGCGAGATAAAAAACGATGAATCAATCTCATTCCTATTATATTGATACGAAGTTGGCAAGTCAAGTGGCAACAGATGAAAGTCCATGAAAATTATAATATCAAAAATTAATTAAAATTAAAATTAATAAAGATTCGCTGATTGTCCTTAGTGTGCGAAACAAATTCGCGACAAACGTTCCGATTCTTACAACGATTAACAATCGAGTGAGTTTTTATATTTGACATTCTCGAGAGTTTGTTATTTGTTTTAATTTTTTTTAAATCAAAACTTAGTTAAATCTTTATAATTTGCCAAATTATTTTTAAGAATTTTTTAACATTTTATTAGGTGTTGGAATTAATTCGTAGCGTTTTACAAGTGATGGAAAGTACTTTCATTAATGTATTTTTTAATGCTCATGTGAAATAAATAACATTCTTTCATTATAAAACGCTACGAATTAATTCCAACACCTAATAACTTTATAAAGATTTCTGAAAAATATCTTAAATTTCTTTAAATTTTATTAAATTTTCATTAGAAATACAAGAATAATTTATAATACAAGAAATCTTAGAATATTTCTCATACGTCATATATAGGATGCATTTAAATTTAAGACACTTGAATATTTTAATTTTAATACAAAACAATTTAGAATAAAATATTTCAGAAAATATATTATATTTCTTGAAATTATAGAGCTCATGAAATAACAAGCTAAATAAAACTATTTTAAATAAGTAAGGTAATCGGACAACGTTCAGATCACGTTTAAACCACCAGTTCTCGTCCGATCACTGAAGTTAAGAAACGTTGAGCACGGTTAGTACTTGGATGGGTGACCGCTTGGGAACACCGTGTGATGTTGTCCCTTAATTTTTTATTTTTTTTCAAACTAGAAAAGATCAAATCGGAAAAAATATAAGATACTAAATAAGAATTAATCATTGATTTTTTAATAATTAATATGTACTTTTACGTAGAATAATTAATTAGAGATATAATATGTTTTACGTAAAAAAATTATATAATCCATTTAAAAAATGTCGATTAAAAAATATAATAGAATTAAAAAATCAATTTTTTTGAAAATTGATTTAATCGTATTATTTGTCCCCCTTTAGATGATACGACTTTTTTTCTGTAGAATATTTTTTTTCTAAAATATTCACAAGTATATTTTTTCAAAATATTCACAAGTAATTTAAATGCCCATATATAAAGAATTCTAAAAAAGTAGTTAAAAAAAAACTAATTTGTTGAAAAATCCAGAAAATTAAAAAAATTTAAATATTACCCTCGTAAAATAATTCTCATAATATCTCATAATACTTAACAAAATTTTTCATATTTTAAATTTATATAAAAATTTTTGAAAAATAGCTTAAACTATTATACTTTAGATTTTATTGTTTTTTTTTTAAATAGCAGACATAATCAGTACCTAATCTTAAAATATTTTCGAATTCATATATTTACATTCACATTAAAGAATTCTAAAAAACATATAAGTTTTCTTTTTAGAAATGTTAAATGTTTCAATTGATATAAAAAAATCTGAGAATGTTTTTTTACAAAATTATGAAATTATATAGGAATTCTGAAATTTATACATATACAAAAGAAGATCTGAAGAATTATATAAAGAATTCTAAGAAAAATTTTAGAAATAAAAAAGATAGATAAATGTGCAAAATACGTTTGTGGAATACTATAGCTATCATGCTGTTGAAATGTGTAGATCACTGTGCCTAGCGTCCTGTCAATGTATGGCATAGTACGAGGGTATTTAGTCACCAACTATCCGTCGCTTTACTTTGATCTATGGAGCGAGGTCACTTTGGCGCCTCTATTATTCGTTGCTTTTTGGAGCTTAGCAGGTAATCATTTTATATCGGTGTTCATTTTATATAGTATATCGGCTCCTTATTATCATCAACTTCTTCTATTTTCGATTTTCAGACCCATGGACCAAGGCCATCACGGATCTGGCATCAATCCCAAGACTGGTTGGTATCATCGGCGTGGCTCTTCTCACCATGGGTGTCATAGCTTCCGGATACTTGGCAACCGGTGGAGTGGGCGCATATTTAGCTGGTTTGAGTGCCGGTGCGGTTATGGGCATAGGGGCGAGTTTTGTGATTGTTGAAAGTGAAACCGTGCTGCGAAAACATTTCAAGGTGAGACTGCCGTTGGCGCTGACGTTGAAGAACATTGCCATGTCCGTTGGCTTCACCCTTGTGCCGGCGCTTACACAGTTCCTGCTTGCGAAAACAGACCTGAAGACAGGACTTTTGCTGATGACGATTACCTTTATTCCTACTGCCTTAGGCACTCTGATCTTGCGCTTTCCAACTCCACAGCGAGCATCTCCTTATAGGTAACAACAGAGGATATTCTTATTCCGTTTCTAAATTGAAACTCTCGCATTAATTTCTAATTAAAGCAAAGAATCGTCTGTCTGAAATTTCTCTTAATTCATTAAATCAAGAAACCATTATGCATTTTTTATTTTAAATTCTTGTAACTCGGACCCTAATCAATTTTTAGACCGTAATTGGTATTTAAGAGTAAAAAGCTATTTCCAAAAATTTAGTCAGCAATGGGATGAAATATTAAAAAAAAAAAGATAAAGATTGTAAGTAGAGATAAAAAAGTAAAAAAATCTTTTTCTTTGACAATTCGATTATTAAATAGTTTCATCTTTTTAAATAGAATAAATCGATGTATAATTATATTATTTAATACCACCTATTTTTTTCACTTTCATTTTTTAATATTTATACCAATTACAATTTAGAAAATTTGATTAAGGATTAAATTATAAGGATTTAAAATAAAATGGGCACATGTGTCTTCTGAGATTAATGGGTTAAAAAGATCTTAATACTGCAATCTTTTATTATTGCAAAATGTTGTGCTTTCACATAAAAAAAATGCATACTGTACGACAAATTATAAATAATATCGCGTTTTCATCAACAGGTTACTTCTGACCGACGAAGATAATGAATTGGGCATCAGGATATCCTCGGATAGAGAATCGGATTTTGATCAACGGAATAATGGTACAGATAACATCGGCTATGACAATAGCGACAAACAGGACAGTAATGTCGAGGCTTTGTTTAGCGAGGTGAACAGCATTTACACTTATCAAGAAGCGGACGAGGATGTCGAGCTCTTCGTTAATCCGACCGTGCAATCCGGCAAGTGGAAGCAGGAGTTTCATGTGGCTCGCTATTTCAAATTTTGGGCGGTCATGGTGACATGGACTGGGATGAAGTCCAGCTCACTCTTCTTTTGGATTCTGATACCCAGCTTATTTCTGCAACGAACAGAGCCATTTTATCATGCTGACTGCGTGACATTGTTGGTGGCTGCAGGTGTTGGTTCTTTCATACCTAGCATCGCTAGCTATTGGTTCATCGTCACTACCGCTCAATACAGAAGAATATATTTCGGCGGCGCCTGTTGGCTTAGCAGTATTATTTTGTTAAGTGCGTGAGATGTGCATAAAATTTTGCTTTTCTTCAACATTTCGAAATGACATATATTACATTAATATACACTCTTAAAAATATGAATGGATTTAACATGCAATGTCTATATATACTTAATTCTCATTATGTTGGTATTGACATATAAACATAGGATTTTAAATCCATATCACACATATATATTGTTGTATCAGCACTAATGTGGTGAAAATTATATAAGTACCACACATACTAAAAAATTTTGGTATAGATTTAACATCCCTGTGTGGGTTTAACACTACGGTGTCTATATAATTCTTTTCATGTTAAATTAACACCAACATGATATATTTAAAACCGCTGGTGTTTATATTAACATTATCATGATATAGATTTAACACCATGAAACCTATGGTGTCAAATTCACACCGTGTTGATATTAATTTAACATCAATACAGTGAGATTATATAGATACTGCATGATGTTAAGTTCACACCGCTATTTTTTAGAGTGCATGATATCACCTTATATTTTTTAAAGTGTAACGTTTAATGATATTTTATTAATGTTATATTAATTCAATCTTAATATTCATTATTAATATACTGAATTGTTGAAACGCGCGAAGCAAGACGATCGATCTCGTTGTATTATTTTAATTCTCATCAGTCTCTTATTTTATAGGTTTAAGTTATACATTTAACTATTACTGGTTTCTAACGTGTTCGCTGTTCGGTGGTGTTGGCATCAGCACTTTGCTAGTCTGCCAAGACTTGGCGCTCTGCGACGTGCTTGGAAATCAATTTGCGCATCACTCTTACAGATTGTTGTCTACTATCGTCGGACTGAGCGTGCTAGCTTTCTGCTTTGTACACAGTACGTATCTTGAAACATCGATGTTTATTTGTTTTCTGTTTTTCTTGCCATTTTTTTGACAAAGATTTATAAATTTAATTTCTTGAGTACACACAATGCGCCTGATACAATGGTAATAAATAATACACGGCCAAAGGTCTATAAAATTTATACAATCTGATGATTGCAGACGAGAACATATGCCTTCGCATAGTCGCATTGCTGCAATTTCTCGGTGGATGCTACTGGATCGTGCCACCCATCTGGGAAATCATACGTGCGGGAAGGCTGAGAGAGGGCTAACAAAAATCATTATATGCTGCAATTCGTCAATATTTACGTTAACATTGACAATAAAAATGCGACGATTTCTTAAATGCCTTTCAATAATAAGAAATATTCTTCTGGAGTAATCGTAAGAATGCGAGTACGAATATTTCGTATGTAATTTGTGTAATTGGAATACGTAATTATTTAATCCTTTACGTCATACATCGATTTGTGAATTGCAGTTGATTTTGAATTATCAAGAATACAAGGCAATATCGCACGCAATGAGAAGTGAACTTTGCATTTCTTATAATTTAGACGAGGTGCAATAGAATAAGCATTTTTACATTGTATGATTGTCTAGGTGTGATCACAAAGAGTATTGTAAAACTTTTATTAAAATATAGTTTTTAATTATCGTCAAATTAACAATGCACATTACGGTATTATCACTGATTTATACTGTCTTATTTAATTAACGAATTTATTCTATTAAACTGTCCATTATTATTTTGCAATACGAATGTGAATTTTCATTTCTGACATATTTTTGCCTACTGAATACGAATCCATTGATAAAATTTGGCTAATTACAATTTTAAGAAAAATGATGTTAAAGAGGCATTATGATACCGTATGGTATTTATGATATTTTATTTTTTACTTAATTTATTGTACTTATGAAATGTATTCATAAAAAAACTAGACTTTATCTGTTCTATCTTATTTTAAGACATGTTTGATTACCCCAGATAGCACAGAATATTCTATGAATATTTTTATAAAATGTTTTTAACTTTAAAATATCTTAATTGAATATTCTCTGAATGTATATAGAATATTCTATTTAGAAATTTATATTTATAACAAAAAGAAGACAAAATGTTCCTTACGATATTCGTAAAGTTAATGAACTACGCATGTGCAGTATTCTATAAGGACAAGGTCAGGTCTATATAAAAATAAATAGAATACTTGAGTGCTGTCTAGAACAATACCAGAATCAACAATATTAACAAATTATTAGAACCCTTTTAAATGCTTTTATAATCATTGCAATATTGATAAATATACGCCGAAAAATATCGATATGATAAAGGATCCTCCACAATATAAGATCTTTGTATATTCATAAATTTTTTCATATTCATGATTTGATATCTTATCACCAGTTTATCATTGCCAATTTCTTAAACTACTTATGCCAGTTTATCATTGCCAGTTACTTAAACTACTTTTGGCAATATGTATATGCACATATATCAGATAGATATATATAATAATTTAGTTAAAACTATACTTACGTTAGAAAGAATATGTTAATATATACAAAGTTTATATATACGTTCATCTTCTCATCGCAGATGGGTGATACGTGGAAAATGAGAAAATGATAGAGATCGATATCTCAAATGAAAGTTCAATATTAAAAGAACATGCCAGAAAAATTTGTTTCGGATTTTTCTGTTTCACATACCAAATGTTTTCATTCTAATACTGCCATAATTTTAATTTACCAGACAAAGGCATGATAGCGCGTGAATAGATATGTATAAAACATTCAATATAATTTTTACAAAAATTATTATAAGTTATTAATTATAAGTATAATTATTATAAGTTCATAATTATTATAGGTATAATTATAATAACTGCTGTAACTATGATGTAAAAGCTTACTTAAAAAATTTGCTTAAACGATAAAAATAATACCACAGACTTGCGCCTATGATGGGCGATACAGAAAAAAATCTCGATATTTTGTATCGCAATGTATAATGAGCAGAAATATTGATACACCAAAATATCGACTGAATAATTTATTTCTGGTATTGCTAATATCAATATATTTGATATTTTTATTTTTAGATGATACGTATTGATGCGTAAAAAATTGATCTTTTTGGAAGAAATAGTTTTTGAGGCTATTTCATTGATCTTTTTGAATAACTATTCTAATTAGAATTTTTTTAAATTAGATAACACACATTCAAACATATACGTCCTCCCTAGCAAGAAATGGCTCATCAAATAGATATCTAATCGATGTCGAATTAATATTTTGACATTGATTCGGCACTGATTTGATGTTGAAGTGACGATAATTTCTCTAGGTTGTTCCGCGATAAGTATCGTCACGTTCTACGCGTTGCACAGGAGACAATAGGAAAACTAATCTAATCTAAAGTTTAATAAATTTTGCTCTGATTGATCAATTTTCAATCCAATTTTAATCAGTACTAAACTAATATGGTATCAGTACTAAACTAAACTTTCGATACTTAACGTATCGAAAGTTCGATATTCCTATTCAAATGTCGATATACATCAATATCGAAATACAAAATATCGGGAAAAGTTGATCCAAAAATATTGATATTTAACATATTGGTGCTGTATCGCTCATCCTTATTTGCGCCTTATGAAAAGAGAACACAGTCTTCCGACCGCGAGCGTAAATAAAGCTCATTCAAACCTAGGCCTGTATTCTGTAACTCGTCATGCAGTCCTTATATGCTCATAACACGACAGTTGCACTTTTTTACTATATAAAATATTTGCAGTTACAAAATACAGGAGCTGGGCAGTTAAAAACGAGGAACACTACGTCGAATTTTTAGGTATCGCCTAATTCCGGATCCTTGTCTATCACTTTGCTAGGTCCCGGATTGTCGCATGATTTAGGCAGAAAGCCATTGGCTGTCCGACTCGAATGTGGCTTTATGTTCCAGCTTACTGGCCGCGGCTGATTTAGTTCATCATATTCCGATTCATTGTTCTGCTTAATCTCGTCATAGACATGTTCAACTTTCTTGCCGTCCATCTCATCGATGCTGTGATACACATTCAAGTTTGGATTTCCCATATCGGCATCCCTATTCTTCAAATCATATTGCAGTCCATATGCTCCTAAGCAGTAATAAATTGATGTAGTGTAAGCTTTTCTTTATTTTATTTTGTCCTTAATGAAAATAATGTACCTTTACAATCGTCTTCATCATCAGTACAACTGCCTAAGCCAAATTTAGCCTTCTCGGTGTTTATATTTTTATGGAAATTATTCCGGAAGTTGTTCAGCAACGTAGTAGTGCCATCATCGAACTTTGAGGATCCTTGATACGCATATACTGGATTATCAAATTGATTTCGATCTACGGCAAAAGTTATAATATTTTAGATTTCTGTGCTGGAAAATTAAACTCTTGGACGATTGTATAAATAAATTTTTAATTTAATAAAATTTTTAATTTTTACGATCAGAAATAAAAAAATACTTAATTTACCTGGCGGAGATACAGGCTCAGCTGTGTATTGCACCTGAGCTATCTCGCTCTTAAGATCAGCCACTCGGCGACGATGGTACATCCATGCAGCGAACAAAATGCCAATTATAACAATAGTCGCAAATATGGCTCCTACAATGTGCCCATATCCTCCATCTTTTTTCTCCTGGATGTTACGAGAGAATAGCTGCTCGTCACAGTTCTCACCTAGTAAAAATAATTTATCAGTCACTAGTAGGCGGGAAACTCCCAATTTTTTATGCAAAGTTACTTCTTTAAGAGCGCACTTTAATAATATACCTGTGTATCCATGCCTGCAAATACAGCCTTCAGCTGGATGACACATGAAGAAATCGTTTTTACATTCGCAAGATTCCATACAATGGTCACCATAATATCCTTCCGGACAAACTGAAATCAGTAAGTATTTAAATATAAATTTATTAACAGAGGTTCCTTAAATCTGTATATATTAAGAATTAATTCGTAGCGTTTTACAAGTGATGGGAAGTACTTTCATTAATGTATTTTTTAATGCTCATGTGAAATAAATAACATTCTTTCATTAAAAAACGCTACGAATTAATTCCAACACCTAATATTTTAAAAGATTTCTCACATTTATATAAGACAAAAACTTTATGATCCGAAAGCTTAATTTTAAAAATACAAGATGTCAAAGAAAAAATTTCGTTTTTTTCCCTAAAAATTTTCGAAAATCACTCGAATTATTTTGAAATTTTATGTATGTTTTAAGAACACAAAGACTTAATATTTGAGGTCATGTATTATTTTTTATTCTGTTAATGATAAGCGAGCATCTTTGAAATTAATTTGTTTTGAATAATAATTATATAAGGTTTAAATTAATATGGAAAATCATCCCTTAAAATCTTTTAGAATATTTAAGAACCAACTTGAATATATAATATAGTTTGGTATATCATTCTTTTCTGGACATTACAATCCACAGCTTTTCAAACTTACTTACTTTCAGTACATCTGGTTCCAGTCCATCCAGGTGAACATCGACAATGTCCGTCATTGGATCTGCATTTACCGCCGTTCTGACACTTGCAATGCTGTGTGCAATTTACGCCGTATGTGCCCTCCGCGCAAGGTATTTGACAATACTCGCCTTGCCAGCCAGGTCGACATTGACATACACCTAATTAAAACATATATTTCGATGATAAAAACAGGTCGAAAAGATACGATATTTATATACGATGTTATTTCCTTCGATCTGCAGATAAAAGTTTAAATATAGACATATTCATTGTATGTTTCAAGAAGAGTCGCGAGTTCTCAACATGCCTGTTACATGATGACATTCCCCGCCGTTTTTACAGTGACAACGGTTTGCGCAGTTTAGTCCATAACGATTAGGTGGACATGGATGTTCACAGGTGAGACCCAGGTATCCTGGACGGCAAACGTATTCACCGGTAACGTGATCGCAAGTCATGTTTCCTAAGGAGAGAAACAACGATGCTGAAAAATTTATTGTTAACATAGAGGAATTTCCGTGGAAAAACTTTGATTTTTCAATGTACGATATACTCATTGAAATTATTATCCTTTCCACTATTTGTTTAACTAAATGTAAAATATATAAATGTAAAATACATAAATTAACAATTAATAAAAGTACTCAGTAAAGCGTTCGATGGTATAAAAGCGATTAGTGACAAAGATCGAAATAGAGTGTTATTTCTACCGTTTGCGTCAGCGTTTGCGCAAGCAGTGGTCAAACTCTTTTTTTAAACTCAAATTAATTAGTATTGCAAAGTAAAATCCATATCCAAGCGTATTTTCTACATCGAATGTTACAACGTTACCATAAGTGAATAAAATTCGTCTTACAAATTTGATCTAATTTCTTCTTTTTTACTCCTTTCCCATTGGTACATTAATGTATATCACAGCAAACGATTAAACTTACATAAAAATACATATGTTCCATGAAAGAGAGA